GGCTGTGAAGTTGGGTCTCCTTCCTCCAAGCTCCCTAGATACCAGCCACCCATAAGCCTGGGGCCTGAAGCACCTTGCAGCCTACCGGCCTCTTTTTATGGGCTGGAAAATCTTTCCCCATCCTGGACAGAAAGGTTTTATCTGCCAGATCGTGATTGCTTGTTTGATAGTTGGAAACGCGTATTGTCCTAAAAGCCTTAGAGACGTACCCATGGCTCTAAGTATCGTCACCCAAATAAAACAAACATACGCTATTGCTTTTGGGAAGACTTTCAGGACTTCGACAAATAAGCAACCAAGAAGCAGAAGTAAAGCTGATGAGGCTGATAGTACAGCCTTTGAAGCCATATTTATGCCAAGTCTTGACCGGGTGTGGTCGGAAAAGCTGTTACTTGCGTGACGACTTAGTCCATTCAAGCTGCTGGGGTTTATAGGATTTGGGGACGCATTGATCAGATATTGCAATATCAGGAGATAAAGTGAAGTGCAATCAGTTTTACTGAAACTTTACAAAAATGAACGATTGAAATCGATCACTCAACTATTTGAAGCTTTACTATATAGCAAATTTGATTACCTTTTTTTCCTTTAGTATCGTATGGTAGACACGATATACCAAGAGAATATATCAAGCACTGCCTCACCCCCAACTGTGGCTCTAGGAGACTGGGCAGAAGGGAGTGAAAACAAAAGGTCAGATGAGAAAATGTGTAGAGATTCTCAGACCACCACCACCACCACCAGTTGTCAACAGCAGCAGTCTTGCCCACGGCTAAGATTCTAGATACACAGAGGATCATCGGGCCAGCCCTCGATATCCGTCATTTCATAATCCATTTGGGAAAAAAGAAGAGCCATAAATAAAACACTGCCTGGAGGCAGAGGTGTCAAACGAGTGGTGTAGTAACTGGGATCCTAATTCAGGAGAGGGACTGGGGTCTGAGGGTCTGACCAATTGAAGATTTCATTCATTCTTAGTAGTTTCCCCCTAGCTTTATTAGGATGTCATTGGCAAATAACATTGTGTAAGTTTAAGGTGGTATAAGCTGTTGATCCGATACGCTCGTGTGTTGTCAAATGATCACCACCGTATTCGCTAACACCTCCATCCCATAACTACCATTTGAGACCTGCTCTCAGCAACTTTCAAGTATATAATACAATATCGCTAACTCCGTCACATGCTGTACTCTAGATCCCCAGACTTATTCAGCTTATAACTGGAAGTTTGTGCTCTTCGACCGACCTCTCCCCATTTCCCTCACCCTTCAGCCTCAGCCCCTGTCAACCATCATTCTGCTCTCTGGTTCTGTGAGTTCAGCTTTTGTAGATTCCATGTGCAAGTGAGATCGTACAATATTTGTCTTTCTGACTTATTTCACTTAGCAGAATGCCCTCAAGCTCCATCCATGTTGTCCCAAGTGGCAAGATTTCCTTCTTTCTCATAGCTGAATAATTTTTTCATCACATATATATAGATACACACACACACACACACACACACACACACACACACATGCACACACTATTGGGTATGTGATGAATGCTGCAAAGAGCATGGGAGTGCATATACCTCTTTGATACCCTGATTTCATTTCCTATGGATATATATACACAGAAGTGGGATTGCTAGAGCAGATGACCGTTCTGTTTTTAATTCCGAGAACCTCCATACTGTTTTCCATAGTAGTCATACCTATTCACGTTCCCAACAGTGCATGCGGAAAGGTTTTATCTGCCAGATTTTTCCACATCCTCACCAACACTTATCTTTTTGGTAATGACCATTCTAACAGGTGTGAGGTGATACCTGAGTGTAGTCTTGATTTGCGTTTCCCTGACGATGAGTGATGTTGAGCATCTTTTCATGTGTCTGTTAGCCATCTGGATGTCTTCTTTGGAAAAATGTCTGTTCAGGTCTTCTGCCCATTTTTTTTTAACCGGACTGCTGTTTTTTGCTGTTGAGTTTTATGAGTTCCGTATATAGTCTGGATATTAACCCCTTATCAGCCAAGTGGTCTGCAGATATTTTCTCTCCGTACATCGCTGTGCATTTCGCTACTTGCTTGTTCTGTTATTGCAGAAGCTTTGTGGTTTGATGCAGTCCCACTTACTGATTTTTGCTTTTATTGCTTGGCTTTTGATACCATATCCAAAAGAAGAGTTGCCAAGAGCAATGGCATGGAGCTTTTTCCTTGTTGTTTTTGTCTTCCCAGTTTTATGGTTTCAGGTCTTATGTGTATGTCTATAGTTCATTTCAAATCAATTTTTGTGAGTGTTGTAAGATCAGGATCCGATTTCATGCCAGTGTGTGTCCCTATCCAGTTTCCCAAACACCATTGTTGAAGAGACTATCTTATCCTCGTTGAATATTTTTAGTTCCCTTGTCAAATATTAGTTGACTGTGTATGTAAAGGTTTATTGCCAGGCTTTCTGCTCTGTTCCGCTAATCTTCGTGTCTGTTTTTATGCCAGTTCCACACTGTTTTGATCACTGTAGCTTTGTAGCATAGCTTGAAATCAGGAAGTGCGATGCTTCTGGCTTTGTCCTTTCTCAGCTAACTGCTTTAGCTATTTAGGGTCTTGTGTGGTTCCATAGGACTTTTAGCACTGTTTTTGCTATTTCAATGAAAAATGCCATTGGAATTTTGATAAGGATTGCATTGATTCTGTACATTTCCTTGGGTAGTATGGACATGTTAACAATATTAATTCTTCTAATCCATGAACACTGAATATCTTTCCATTTATTTGTGTCTTCTTCAATTTCTGTTATCAGTCTTACACTTTTCAGTGTACAGATCTTTCACCTCTTTGGTTAAATTTTTATTCCTAAATGTTTCATTGTTTTTGACTCTGTGGTAAATGAGATTCTTTTATTTATTTCTTTTTCAGATATTTCATTGTTAGCGTATAGAAACACAACTGATTTCGACGTATTGATTTTGTATCCTGCAACTTTACTGACTCCGTTTTCAGTTCTAACACTTTTGGGGTGGGTGTTTAGGATTTTCTGTCTATAAGAGCCTGTCATCTAGAGACAATTTTACTTCTTCGTTTTTGATTTGGAATGAATGAACAAACATCTTCGGAAAGGAGCACGGCCCTCAGGGGGCACTGTCTACCATACCTTTCCCCCCCTCATTAAATCCAGATAGCATGGCTCTGAGAAGAGACCTCTGCCCTTTGGCAGCCCCTTCTCAGCACCCCATTCCCATTGATTTGCCAACAGAGGTCTAAGGCCATTTATCTTCCTTGGCCATTGCTATAGACTGAATTTTTGTGTTCCTCCAAAATTCGTATATTAAACTTAATCCCCAAGGTGTTGGTATATGGAGGTGGGGCCTTTGGGAGGAGATTAAGTCCTAGGGCAGAGCCCCCGTGAATGGGATTAGTGCCCTTATAAAAGTGACCCCAGAGAACTCCCTCACCCCCTCCACCATGTGAGGACACAGTGAAAAGAGAGCCATCTATGAACCAGGAAGTGGGCCAGACATCAAATCTGCTGGGGCCTTGGTCCTGGATTTCCCATCCTGTAGTACTGTCAGAAATCAATGTTTTTTGTTTAAACCACCCAGTCTATGGTACTTTTGTTATAGTAACCCAAACACATTCAGACAGCCATCCACCAACGAACCCATCAGTACCTACATTACAGTATATGAGACCCTAACTTTAATAGAAGGTTTTTGAGTGAACTCATTCCTTGAGTGGAATAAACCCACCATCTTTCCACTCAGAGATCTCCACCAGCCCTTTCTTTAGATGTTTGGAAAGGTCTTTACCAACCTCAGGTTACGACTGAGCAGGAAGCCTGGGAGATTCTGGTAGATTCTTAGCCGTATGCTGTGACTAAAAGCTCGTTGGTGTTCAGGGTGAGTAGCTGCCCTCAGTGGATCTGAAAAAAATAACACTTAAAAGAATAGACTTGGAGAGATGTCCTACCAGTGGCTGCGGTGGATCCCACAGTGAGACCCAACATGTGGGGAGGGGCCAAGGTGCATGAAATCGGCCATAATTAACTCCCTGACTCCCCGCTTCCGAGATGCTTGAGCCCGGACAGGTTGCTTACCTTCTATCTGCCTCGGTTTCTTCACCTCTAAGATTGGTATCATGATTATACCTACCTCCCGGGATTTTGGTAAGGAGTAAATTACTTAAAGTATGCAACAAACACCCAGAAGAACTCGGCACATAGAAAGCACTTGGTGGTAGTTGCTGATTTTGTGTGTATGAGGGAAGGGACACCTGAGGGGGAGGAACCAGGTTAAGGCCAGGGCCTGCCATTGAGGGGAACCCCGAGAATGATGGAATTTCTTGGGTTACGAATGGCTCGGAATACACCATTCTACACTACAATTTTTCTGAATTACTTAGAGCATTAAACTTGAAGTTCCTCTACGATCTGGCATGAGGTAGGGATGTTTTAGAGAATAAAGTGGGGCCTGCCTCACGTGAGGCTCTCCATACCTGCCCCAGGTGAAGCAGCCCCCTCTCATGGGGAGTGTGTCAGAGCCCCAGGAGTGAAGGACCAGGGGTCCGAGGGGGGCCCTGCAACCTGCAGAGGGGCCCAGACCCTCAGGGGCATAGAGCGGGACTTGGAGATCAAAGATTCGCTGGAGGACACTGTTGGAAGGGGAAGGGACGGGGTGGGGAACAGGGGCTTGCATTACCTGGGAACATTTTCTCCAGATTTCTGTCTTCTCCCTTCTGCCCACGTAAGATTTCAGAGTGCTTAAGAGCAAAAGCTGGCCCAGGTTCAGTGTTCTGGTCTTCTCCACGCAATGAATAAAAAGTGATCACTGGCCACTCGTACGTTCATGCAAACTCAGCCGCCAGGGCATCCGAGGACTATGGAAGGAAGCTGGCAGAGACTCCACTGGGATCCCGCCCTTCTCTCTCTTCCTCACCACACCCACCCCAAGTTAGAGACGTGACCGGTCTGTCGGACCATCCGGTCCAGCATTTCGAAGGTCACAACGCCAGCACAATGACCCGTGCATCTTTGTTTCCAGCTATAGGTTTATTTCCACGACAGAACTGATTTGTAGAAAATCACAGGAGCAACAGAGACGCCATTCACCACTCAGAAAGCCCACAAGGGGAGCACAGGTGGATGGAATCCGCCTCCCCTGAGCCCCTGGGGCCTGAGGGAGGCCACGCAGGAGCGGATTCAGCAGGTGGTTAGCTGACTCTCTGGGGGGACAGGAAAGCCCGGGTTGGGGGGGGGGCGGGAATAACACAGACACTGCAGGGGGCTCTCAGTGAGGCAGGAGAACACCATGGCCTTAGAAAGAAGGCCCTAGGACCCCCCTTCTTGCCCTAAAACACCACACCATTTGTTACAAAGCTTGCCCCGGTGTCCCCAACAGCAAAGCACAGATACAATTTTCCCAGCAGGAGCTCAGACACATCCTAAGAGCAAAAGACAAAGCATCCGGGGCTTATGGGTTGATTTTCAGCCCAAGACACAACGCGAGCTCGGACTTCTGAATTTTTCCATCCTTGTTCACATCACAGTGGCGCAGAAGAATCTCCCGGAACTTATCGAGGTCCGCTCCACTGATGCTGGGCTGAGGACAGCAAAGGGATCCTGTCAGGAGACGGGCCGACGGTGGCCCCACCCTTGAATGCCGCCCCCTCCCCGCCCCATGCTCACTACGCTCAGGGGACAGCCTGCCTGTCTAGGGAGGCTCCGTGCAGACAGGCCGTGGGGGTGGTCCCATCTCGTAGGCCCACCGAGTGTTGTCAAGGGTCCCGCCAACACGTTTACCTCCCAGCATGGCTATTTGGGCGAGGGAACCACCCCCACATCACTTCTCTACGGCTCTAGGGAGAGCCTGCCTATTTAGGCCATGACAAAGATATTTCGCCTTGGAGCAGACAGTTGTCACCACGGATGCTGTCTTGCCGCATGATGAGAGGAGACACATTTCACTATCTCCCCGTGGGAGGAGTTTGTGCCTCTGATTTTAAAAAGGCTTATAACAAATGAAATACTGACTAAAACAGGATGCCACCGAGCTGCGGACATAGGATTTATTCCAAGGCGTATTTGGGGGCTAAGAAAGCACTGTGATACACACCAGACAGGAAAATAAATTCAAACTCAAAAGGCCCGCATGGGGCGCCCGGGTGGCTCAGTTGGGCGGCCGACTTTGGCTCAGGTCATGATCTCACAGTTCGTGGGTTCGAGCCCCACGTCAGGCTCCGTGCTGACAGCTCGGAGCCTGGAGCCAGCTTCAGATTCTATGTCTCCCTCTCTCTCTGCCCCTCCCCTGCTCGAGCTCTGTCTCTCAAAAATAAATAAACGTTAAAAAAAAAAAAAAGGCTGATATGGAACACATTGTCAACACTTGGCTCACTCGGGATACTTCCCTGGGTGTCTGTGACAGGCAGGTAGAGGTGTGGCCCAGGAGATGGCTTAGAAGTCCTGAAAACAGCAAGCTACACTCCGTGGCTCCATACTGGGAGCTCCTTTCTTATGCAAAGTGGGGACTTTTTGGTTTTCCGCATCCTCACCCTCTCCTGCCCCAGGATCCTCTTAGCAAATTCCCATGCTTAGAAAAGACTTGGGTGGTAGTCATTCACACATTAGCATGAATTAATCTCCAACTAGTGGCCCTCTGCCCCCAGGATCCTTTTGGCAAATTCCCATGCTTAGAAAAAAGTTGGGTGTGGGGCGCCTGGGTGGCTCAGTTGGTCAGGCAGCCAACTCTTGGTTTCGGCTCAGGTCACGATCTCATAGTTCATGAGTTCGACTCTGTGCTGACAGCGCAGAATCTGCTTGGGATTCTCTCTCTCCCCCTCTCTCTTCCTCTCTCTCTGCCCGCTCCCACTCATGCTCCATCTCTCTCAAAATAAACTTACAAAAAAAGAGAGAGAGAGAAAAGACTCAGGTGGTAGTCATTCACACATTAGCATGAATTAATTTGCCAATGTATTTACCTCATTCAAGCTATTCTAAACTCTCTTTTTCTAATTTGTTTACTGCAAAAGGAATTATTTCCTTAAAGGGAGTGGAAATATTTTGTGAGGGTGTGAATGTGTGTTTGGGGGTGAGGGTATGAATGTGGGTGTAGGTAAGGGAAGTTTCTTTCGACCTTTTGAGTTATGCTTTTGTTTTTTCTTCTTTTTTTTTTTTGTTAATTTATTTATTTTGAGAGAGAGCACACAAGCAGGGGAGGGACAGAGAGAGAGGGAGAGAGAGAGAGAATCCCAAGCAGGCTTAGTGCGGAGCTCTGTGCTCTTTGGGGCTTGATCTCAAGACTGTGAGGTCATGACCTGAGCTGAAATCGAGTCACTTAACCCACTGAGCCACCCAGGCACCCTTTGAGTTATGCTTTTAATGTTTGACAACTCACTAGGAGTCAGGAGACCCAGATGCCACTGTTCAAAAATGTTTGGATCACGGGAGACAAATCACCTGAAGTCACTGGGGGCCTCAGCTTGAATAATAAGTCACCAGCACACGGGGTCTAACGGTTCTACACAGAACGATTCTAACCTTCAGAACAACCCTATGGGTTGTATTTACTATCAACTTTAAAAAACAAAATTTTTTAACATTTATTTATTTTTGAGAGACAGAGACAGAGCGTGGGCAGGGGAGAGGCAGAGAGAGAAGGAGACACAGAATCCGAAGCAGGCTCCAGGCTCTGAGCGGTCAGCACGGAGCCCGACGCGGGGCTCGAACCCATAAACTGCGAGATCATGACCTGAGCCAAAGCCGGACTGAGCCACCCTGGTGCCCCTACTATCAACTTCTAATTTACAGATGCGAAAACTAAAGCACAGAGAGGTTAACTAACCTTCCCACTGTCACACAGCAGGTACATGTCTGAACCAGATACGAACTCAGGCAGGCGGTCCCAGAGCTCACCTCTTTACCACACACACTGCCGCAGCCTCCGTGTAAAAATGCATTTTTTTAGTTTCTTACCCACCTCATGGGAAAGTGTGCGAGTGGATCTGGAGTATTTGGCTGAACAATGCTTATCGGTCCCCGTTGAATCCTGGGCCCTAGGGGAACCTGTAGGGCTGGATCTGTCTCCTCGTGCCTGCCCGTGATAAGTGCTCCATTCCAGCCATGGAATCCGTGAGGGACTGTCTACACACGCCGTCTTCCTGTTCCCGCGTGTGCCCTCCCTTCCCTGTATGCCCTGTGTCTCCTGAAGCAGTGAAACGGGAGGCCCGAACCCTGTCTTCCTTGGTCCCCATGCTGGAGTCAGCATCAGGACGCCAGGCCCGGCCTGCGCCCCCTAACAGAATTATGGCTTTGATCGTGGCAAGTGCTCGTTGGAAACCGCTTATGATAGCGCTTCCGATGGGAATATTTCATTAGCAAGCGCCTCACTCTCCAACCGTGCAAAGTTATAACGTGTTCCCTGTCGCCACTCTGTTTATCGGCCGTGCTGCTGTCTGAAAACACCGAGGCGACGGGTAGAGGCCAAGGCCTCACCGCCTAAGACCTCGGCCAGGCCCTTGCCAGCCAGGCTCGGATTGTCTGGAAGAGGTCAGGGTAATAAAGGCCACCTCCAGCACCAGTCCTGTCCCACGTGTCTTCGAATTATCACCCGCCATGTTTTACATGTTTTACAATGGAAAGGGGGGACTGGTTGGTGTTCTTTCAGGGTCATTTTGCAGGCAGAGGTGCCCCGTCTGACAGTGCGAAGTCCCCTGGAGGGCGGCGATCACAGGGGACCGCGCTGTGACGGGAGGAGCTTAGGAAGCACATCACCGGGTCCCACAGCCCCAACACTGGTTGTTGGGGATGACAGTGCCTTTCCCTTGCCTCCTGCTGTCTTTTCTTAGAAGTCTGTCACTCGGGATGGCAGCACGTTAAGTCGCTAACATCCCAGTGAGAAAAATACATACATATTCCTGCCTGACCTCTTCCTTGATAGAAAGCCTGGCTCAAAATGAAGCCATTGGCTTTCTGGTGGGGTGGGGAGAAAGGACCCGAAGAAGGGAATGGATGAACGCACAAGGCTCTTTCTAAAATGTGACAGTAGGGGGCGCCTGGGGGGCTCAGTCAGTTAAGCATCAGACTTCGGCTCAGGTCATGATCTCACGGTTTGTGGTTTCGAGCCCCGCATCGGGCTCTGCGCTGACAGCTTCAGATTCTGTGCCTCCCTCTTTCTCTGCCCCTCCCCTGGTCGCACTCTGTCTCTGTCTCTCTCTCAAAAATAAACAAACATTAAACAAATTAATTAATTAATTAATTAATTAATGTGACCGTGAGTGCCAGCAGTTTTAAAGCATGCAAATCCCTCGATTCCACGCCTGAGATAAAGCCTAAAACCAAGACAAGATGCACCTACCAAAATACTAAGTTTTACTTTGAGTCACAAACAGGGTAAACAGTCTAAATTCCTAAGAGGAGCCCCATGTTGGGTGTAGACATTACTTAAAAAAAAAAAATCAAATGAAATACTTAAAAAATAAAAAACTAATAAATTACTAGTGAAAGAGGAATGTGTAGGTAAGTCCTAGCTAACCACAGGTAAAATCTTCTACAGACACTAAAACAGTGACTGTAACTGAGAAATGCTTATCCGTGGAGCTCAACCCATGCAGAATACACCCAGAAATGAAGTCTGTTAATGGAAGGTCTACTCAAATGTAGAGATCATGCTTTTGTCTTTTCTCTACTTTCAGATTTCTCTCCGTATCATTTTTATCATTTAAAAAATGAAAAGAAATGAGAACATGTGTGCTACGGGCTAATAGCTCTTTGGAGGGGCATATATTAGATTCAATCTTTTGGGTTAAGTATTGTCCCCCCCTTGCTAATCATCTTGTCAACAACAGAGAAAAACAGAAGCAGTGTCTAGCAGGATAAAGAAGGAACTTTGGGGAGCCCAGGGCAGGACCTCTCCTCCCCTCCAGGCAGACCTCCTGGTCACCTCTGGCATCCCTGTATGTTTGGCTTCTAACGTTACCATTCACGCTTCTACTCCTTGGAATAAGTTGAGCGTCTTGAATGTCTTGCCTTTCTACTTTCTAGCTTAAGGTATAGATTCTCCCGTTGATTTTCATGCCGTGCTGAGGGACCTACAGACTCTTCAGAAATCTTGTGCAGAAATTATTGGGTCATATCCCCCAGGACCTTGCGGTCTCATCATACTGACAGAGGACAGCCCTGAGCGCCATTTTCCAGAGATCAGGGAAAGTGGTGTTCTGGTAACCAGATAGTCTTGTTAATACAAATTCAATATAGGTATCATACATGGTTGAAAGAAAACAAGAATGAAATAAGCTTACGTCAGGGTCATGATCGCAAACATCAACGATCCTGACCAAGACTCGACACATAGAACCTGAGCCAGCTCAAGACCTCCATGGCATGCTTGGATAGTTGCTTTTAAAACAAATTCCAGATATTGTTTGTTTGCTTGCCCTGTGGTCCTTGATGAGAAATGTCAGATTTATCCAAAGATTCTCCCTTGACAACATACTTCAAATTATACGGTGAATAGTTTTTAAGCAACGCAGAAGTTCTACTGGGAAAGACCCAATATAGATATGTACCTCAGTTATCTGGCTTCAGAGGAGAACTTTAATAATTAACTACTTTGTCCCCACTTTTTAGCTCAACAAATCAGCCCTTGTCAACTGCTTTTGTACTACTGACCATGGTCTCACTCAGTCCTTGAAAACCCACTCTCTTAACTTGGCTGGTACTTATACAAGAGGAACCGTTTTGTTGCACCAGAAATAGAAGGGCAAGGACAAGAGTGATGGGGATCCTCTGGTTTCCCATGGAGGTGATTCGAATCTATCGATGAGTGAGGCAAATGCATGTTTTGGGATGGTCTACGATTTTCCCCTTCTCTGATTTTCTCTGGGAAAACGTCTTCCCTACTCTGTTGCTAGGTTAGGTTTTACTTCTGTGTCTCCCAGTAACCTTTGGAAGTCATTGCCAAACGCCGTGCCAATCACAAGGGTCTGTAGGCATGTGAAGCCCCTGAACTGTGCACTTAGGTGGACTGGCTTCACTGCCCAGAGGAGGCCACGTAGCTGAGAAGCAGGCTCAGCACCCGTGCATCTATCAAAAGCAAATTAAGACCGCGGTTTGGCAAAGCCTACTGCCGTGCGACTTTAATGTCCCACAGATAATTGCTCAGTTTCTATCACAGGAATCATTCTGGCATTAAAGAGGTAATAAGTACAGTGGGATTTTTCCTTAGCAATCAATGTAAAAGGCACCACCACACCAATGCCCATGCACCATTTGGCTGGGCAGGTGCCCGTGGAATCTCCCAGCGGGGCCAGCCCACGAAGGGAGTGTGGAAGAGGCAAGGGGAAGCGGGATGGGGACATCAAGACTCAGGAGGTCAACAACACACGTCTGTCATCCTGATTAGAGGTCAGAAAAAGATCTCATTCACTCCTGCTCCCTCACAGTACGTGGACTTCCTGGGGGTTTATGCAAAAATTGGTAAATTTTTAGGAAATTTTCTGCTGTGAAACTCCACAGTTTTAATCAGGTTTTTAAACAGGTCTGGGAATCCAGAACCAGTTAACAATTGCTTCCATCTGGACCAGTCGGGGCAGAAACACTGTGTCCTGTATTAACCTCAAAATATCTCTAAGGCTAGGAGAGTGTGAAATTCAGTGGCTACAGGGTCCCATAGAAGAGCTGCAAATTAACTAGATCAGGCAGCCAGTCAAATACAGTTCACAGGGATCTCAACGGAGACTGCTTGTTTTAAACAGTCTACACTACATAAAACAGCTTTGTGATGTAGATTATAATCTAAATCCTATCCGTCTGAACCAGGACAATGTCTTGATAGATAAGTAGCCAAAATTTTAGGCTGGGCGTTAGAACAGCCCTGGGAAGATGGGGTGGGGGGGGGAGCGCGGAGAAATTCCAAATATGGGATTTATTTCATGAAATTAAATTAAAAGGTTTTAGGTATTCTAACAACCAAGTCCAGGGGAAAAAGCCCTTCTGTAATGAAGCGTAAAGCCGTAATGTATACACTGGCACCATGTTTCCATGCTAAAATAGATGGCTTTTTAGTGATGTTAACAAGAAACTTCTATGGGGGTTTTACTTCACTGAAGCTACAAATGATCTTAAGAGACAAAGGGAGACTTGTCAGGTCTCACAGAAGCTCAGAGTTGATAAATAGACTATGTCCCTAGATCTTCTCTCTAGCATTAATCGTCAGTCCCACTGATGCTCAAAAATAAACAATGGGATCCCTCAGAATGGCAACCCCAACCCACGATGGATCTCTACGGCCTCGTGAAATCACCTGGACCAGCTCCATCATGTCTTTGACAAACCCGTCCACTTCCGGGCCTTCCAGAGCTCCAGTTTTACTCTGAAAGATAAAAGATCCAATCAATCCAACATCATTTACTTAAGTCCGAAAGCTAAAGAATAAATTAGGCGAATCGTCCAAATCAGTATTCTTTTGTGACTGCAAATAGGTTCAGAAATGGCACGTTCCAGGTAGTTTCTCTGGGCAGGATGTGAAATGTTCCACAGAGATTAAAAGAATGAATTGTAGGGGCACCTGGGCGGCTCTGTCAGTTAAGGATCCGACACTTGATTTTGGCTCAGGTCACGATCTCGTGGTCGTGAGTTCGAGCCCCCCATCAGGTGCTTGGGATTCTCTCTCTCTCCCACTCTCTCCTCCCTCACTTCCCCCCGCTTGCCCTCTCTCGCGCGCACGCGCAAAATAAATAAGTAAACTTTAAAAAAATAATTAATTGTCAATAACTACCCCCACATAAACAAATGGGAAGCAGTAGTTTTGAGGTCCTTGGCTCTTGCAAATAGCATTAACGTGATATATACTCGCTTCATTTGCTTCCCAAATATTAAGCTTCAGTTCGGACTAAATTTTCACATCATATCCATCTTGATAGGCTGACTTTTTTTTATTTTGCTTTATAATTTAGCGAGGGCTTGATGATTATTAAAATGCAGATTTTATTTTTTTATTTTTATTTTTGTAACCATCTTAGAGAGAGGGTGAGCACGTGAGTTGGGGAGAGGGGCAGAGGAAGAGAGAGAATCTCAAGTAGTCTCCATGTTCAGTGTGGAGCCTGACGTCGGGCTCAATCCCACAACCAAGAGATCAGGACCTGAGCCAAAATCAAGAGATGCTCAACTGACCGAGCCACCCAGGCACCCCCAAAATATATATTTTAAATCAAGAATGACTAAAATTATTTGGTCTGTACGTAAACTCTTAGTTTTTCTACTCACTATATAAAAAGGTCTATGAAATACAATACATACTAAAATATTTCCATTTCTTCTCTAAAGTCCCAGTTATGACAACCCATCCATTCTTTTCAAGTTTGCTTCACCTTGAACCTTTAACATATCATTTAAAAAATCTATTCCCGGGGCACCTGGGTGGCTCAGTCGGTTAAGCGTCCGACTTCAGCTCAGGTCACGATCTCACAGTCCGGTCTGTGAGTTCGAGCCCTGCGTCGGGCTCTGGGCTGATGGCTCAGAGCCTGGAGCCTGCTTCCGATTCTGTGTCTCCCTCTCTCTCTGCCCCTCCCCCGTTCATGCTCTATCTTTGTCTCAAAAATAAATAAACGTTAAAAAAAATTTAAAAAAAAATCTATTCCCTTAGTGTATTTGCCAAATACAAACATAATACTAGCTACCTGCCAGGCACCCTTCTAAGAGCTTTACAAATCTGAAATCACTGAATCCTCGTAACAATCCCATGGAGTAGGCAGTATTATTATCCTCAAGTCACCCTAACTTTACAGAAAAGGGCAACGAGGCACGGGGGTGGGGGGTGGGGAAGGGGTAAGAAGACTACCCAAGGTCACGTGGCTAACAAACCGTGATTCACACCCAGCTGATGGTCACAGAGCCCATACCCTTAAACACTTGGCTGCACTGCCTCTTCTGGGTGATGCTCCCTCCTGCTCAGAATGTGACACACAGATGTCCAGTACGGTTAGTTCCAGGACGGCGTCTCCTTTGACTTTGCCTAATGTTCTCATTTCTCTTCCTTCTTGCATTACCCTACCTTGTCAAGAAATGTGATCTCTTTGTCACACTTTGTGCTTTAGAATTATTATTTATTTCTTCTCTAAAGAAGGACCGCAGAATCAATCCTACAAGAGAAGTAGCGATTATGTCAACCAGGGCTCGCTTTGCCTGTATTTCTTTGGGTTAAATGTGGTTTTGAACTTGATTCTTTATGTTTCGTTCTCGAGCATGCTATTCCAGATGGAGATTGAAGAAGGAGAAGCCTTCTCCCAGTTTGGATCCCAAGAGGGAAAAAAAAGTGATTTTATTCTCTTCTCAACCATAAATACTCCTTTTGTCCATTTAAATGTAGTTTTCAGAAGTTTGCATAGAGAAGCTGAGGGGTGACATACATGTAGGACTGCTATTCGTCATATAAGTTCAAGGTCTGATGGGTAGGATGGGTGGGTAGGACAGACAGGATGACCCCATATAGGGCCAGACAGGCTTGCTACCTCAAAAGGGCCAGCGCAACACAAAGGGGCACACTTACAACGTCATAGTGGGCAAAGATTTTCTCAAAGTCCCTCTTTCTTTCCTCAGTGGAACAAGCCTGTGTGTGCAGAAAACGGTGTGTTAGTCCGGCAACAGGAAGCTTCCATTGGACAGTTCTTCCGGGGTCATAGGCAACTTCTATAAACTTTGAGTCAATGACCCCTTAATCCCTTGATTTCAACAGTAAGCCTTTTTTGTCTCTAGATAACTTAAAGTAAGACAAACAGAGGCCTTCCTTTCTTCCCTTCCTCTCACATGGACGACACAAGCCCACCTAGAAACATGTCACTACTTACATCCATTTTAAATTGGAGAAGGAAGTTTTCCTGAAGAGCCAGAATCCTAAATGGAAAAGAAAAAAAGAAATTAGTCCGCGTGAAGATCTGTCCGCTCTCAGTTACAAGCAAATCCATAACTCTGGGGTGAGGAAAGGGCAGGCAATTTCCAGATTATTCTGCAGAGTAGGGGAGGTGCTTGAAAAATAAGGAGTTATACGTTATAAAAACAAATTAAACAATTAACTGGGAAAGACGTTCACAGGGATTAGTAGTCGCCAGAGAGAGATTTTTGAGAAGGCATCTTGGTGGACAATGGCAGAGTAAGGGCTTAGGAAGTCTCCCTCCTCCATAACCACAATGAGAAAACTGCCCGCCCCCCCCCCAAAAAAAAGTCAAAATACCTTTTTCACAATTCTAGATCTTAAAATCTTGTAGAAATCTGAGGAGAGTTTATCTTGGAAAAATGGCTAAATCTCGGTAAGAACAGTGGATTTTGTGCATTTTCACTTCCTTCAGCCCTCCACCCTTCTCCACTCCACTGTAAATGAAGAGCCCACAGTCCCGGGGAAAAAGAGCATTCTAGCAGCAGCTAAAGCGAGCAGAATGGAGTTGGGGCTCTTTCAAAGCCCAGTTTCCAAAGAATTACCAGTATGTGACTTCTCTGATGTTCTCGAAAAGACTCCACTTGCAAGATGCACTTATTTGACCTGATTTTGAACTCACCCAGTGAAAAAGCCTTTTACCTGGGAGGATTTGTCAAAAGCAGTGAATTAGAAGCAATTGTTTGAGGTCACAGCTGACGGCAGTGATAGACAAGAGTCTGGGTAAACAACAGGCTAACTAAAAAGATTAAAAGGAAAAGCTGGAGGAATGAGATGTCCATAGGGTCTTCTACAAGTTCTGACATATTTCTGGGAATCTAGAGAGCTGCACACATGCATGGGGCCACATCTATGCCCAGGACTGGGTGTCTGTGCAGGAAAGACCGGAGAAGGCCCTAAGCTCTCGCCTGTGGCTTATCGTCAGGCTGTATGCAAGCAGGAAGTGAAGGCTAAGGCAGAGTTGTAAGCTGCCTGGTTGAGTGTAGATGTGCCCCAACCTGTACACAGGGACCCTCAAAAAACAGTGGGAGACATCTAAGGAATCTTTGTGCAATCGTGAGCTAGCCAAGCAGAGACTTAAGTGTCCAACCATAACAAAGACGCAGATTTTACAGGATTTGTTCAAAAAAGTCACTGGACAAAAAGGACAATTAACAACAATAAATGTGACCCATAAGAAATACTAAAGGTAATTCTTCAAGCTGAAGTGAAAAGAAACCAGACAGTCGCTTGAATCCACATGAAGAAAGAAAGAACCTCAGTCAGACATGAAAGGCCACATATTGTATGATTCCATGTATATGAAATGCTCAGAATAAGCAAATCCATAGAAACAAAGTAGGTTACCGGGGGTTGGCAGGTGAGGGGAGGAGAGTGTGATTCCTGATGGGTCTGGGGTATTTTTCTGGATTTATGCTGTATTCAAAAATCATGCATTCACCGTACAGGGAAAGGTAGAAACAAAATAGCTTGCAACAATTTGGAAAATATTGCTCTTCTGGATGCTCAGGGGAGAGAGAATTAATTTGAGCCAAGTAGAGGCTAGAATATTCTGGAACTCTCTAAGGAATCCTGTTCTCATCTGTTGGTTGGCACCAAGCGGCCTAAGTTATGTTGCCAGTCAGAGGACATATACTTGAGAGGTGCTCGTATGTAGAGTAACAGCGCTGCCTTCTAGGGCTGGGAGTAGAGAGAAGAGTCCCGCGTATAAATTAAAGGACGCTTGTTATTACAGGGGGCCCACCTGGGTAATCCAGAATAACCCCCATAAGGTCTGTTAATCAGCAACTTTAATTCTATCTGCAACCGTGGTTCATCCTTGCCACGTCACAAACGTTTGCTGGTTCTGGGAGTTCGGACACAGATGTCTGTATTTTGCCTACCCCGGTTGTCGCTGTCGAGTCCCTTATCAAATTGGTTTCGAAACAATGCAGTAACTGTTTCGTTGCTTTGCATCTCCGTTCAGCACTACTTTGGTCCTTCCTTCAGTCCACAGCTACCCATCGAATCCTCCTCTATACGTAGCACCGGGCCATGAGAGTACTATTCAAGGGACGAAGGCGTACTTCCTGCCTCCTGGGTAGGACCATAGGAGGGGATGTTTGGCTCGCTGCAGGGGAGGGCTCTGGTTATGATCGTGACAGAGGGACTCTGACCTCCACAGTGGGAGGTCAGGGATGCCAGATGCCCTGCATTGCATGGAAAATCCCACAGAAGGGTGAATCCGCCCATATTTCACCTGACTCGGGAATGTCCACAAGCATTCATGTGTGTACCAATCCTGCTTATCATTATGTTTGAACTTAGGGCGGAATTACTATTTATGTGAAAATCCAGACTATTTTTCTCAAGGCATACATAGTTTACTAACTGTGTAAATGATTCAGATAGCATACTGAGTCAGGTAAATTGAGGGCTGACTATACTTTGTCCCATATGGAACTCCATCAGGACTTATTTATTATTTATGTCATTGTATCAGCAGCAACTGAGTTCCTGACGCACGAGTCGCCAAAAGGTCATACTTGTATCCGTCAACATCTGAACTGATATATTCTTGCTACTTCTACACCAAAAGCTATAAGCTTTTGTCATGCCTGCCCTGTGGTTGTATCTACCCACCTACACTTGAAATATACCGTATTTTATTTTAGGTGTTTCACCTTATTTCCCCTTTCTGTGTTATAGTGTACGCATTATATTGTTTTAGCATTTCGGGCCGAGGTAGTTGATATTTTCTGCGGATTTTATTTCGGGAGTAAACAGTATCATGACCAATAGGGTAGAGAGCAGCTTTAGAGTAGTGGCACACTCCAGCCTCCAGAGGGCGCTCAGGGCTCCTAGACTCGCCACCTCTGAGACCTGCATTGAGTAAAGTGGGTGGGTGCTTTTGGTGAAGGGAACAATGAAATTAAAAGCTCTCATTTTCACCCAGGTTGTCATGTTTGGGGTCTTCCGGTTAGGACTGCTCTCGCACGCAGCTCTCAGAGTAGCTAGACTGACCTCCACTTGAGAGGAAGCCTTGCCTCCCTTGGCCAAGATAGCTTCAAGGAGTAAGGGGGACGCCGGGGATAAAGCCAAGGCCGCAGGGCTGATATCCCTCAGTCCTCAGCCTTTGGGAGAGGCGCTGGTCTGGCTGGTGTCTCCATGCCTCTTCTCCACGAAAGTGGCCAAAATTAGGATAACGGTTCTGGGGAAAGGAGCCGAGGAGGACACAAAGGCTGTCTCACAGGTCCTGCAAGGTCCGGAATAGAAGACCGTATAGAGTTTTGGGCTCGGTGTCCTGGTCATGACTAAGGAGAGATCCTTCCCGGTGTGTTCCCTTTCGCAGACCCCCTGCAAGAACTAACAGATGGACTGGCCAAGAGAGGCGGTAGCTGGTACAGGGTTTTGTCATTCTGAACTCAAGTTAGTATCTGCTTGTGACCTTGCCAAGTTTACTCTGTCATTTAAATCACCCTCAGCCCTTGGACTTCCTCTCTCCCAGCCATACATGCTTCTGCCTTGCAGCCTATAACTGCTAAACCCTCTATCGTTGTCCAGTCTACAACTCCATCCACCACCCCCCACCCCCCCCCCCCGGCACCTGGTATCATAACTGCTCCTTCATCCGGGTTATATCTGTGTATTCTGGATCCAACGATTTCAACTCTGTCCATCTATTCAAAATCTTTTTTTTTTTTTTTTTTTTTTGTTCTATAGACAACCATAGCTTGTTTTGGGGTCGGTTAGCCTTGAGACAACATTCTGACATGCCCATCATGTACAACCCCGGACTTACAGACAGCAATTCTCAGGTACTGGGCCACTTCTGCTGGCACCCCCTCCTCCTCTGCTCTGGTCTTCAGGCGCTGGGTGCCCATGGAGGCTGCACCCACGCTGGAAAGCCGGCCAGCACAGCTGGAGTGTGGTTCAGCTGTCCTCTGTCCTGAGCTAACTGCGCAGCCTTCCCAGAGCCAGTGAATGGGGTCCCAGATGTATTTTCTCATGGAGTCCTCGTGCGGGACCAGGAAGGCAAGGCTGGCCCATGACCCATCAATAAAATTTGATGAAAACCTTGTGTATTGTGCATTTGGGTGGGGGGAAGAGCTTTTATTATCCTTTTTTTAAATTTATTTTTGAGAGAGAGAGAGAGCTCATGTGCGCAAGCAGGGGAGGGGCAGGGAGAGAGGGAGACAGAATCCCAAGCAGGCTCCGCACCGTCAGCTCAGAGCCCAACATGGGACTTGAACTCATGCACCGTAAGATCGTGATTTGAGCCAATATCAAAAGTTAGCTACTTAACCAACTGAGCCACCCAGGAGCCCCAAGAGCTTTTATTACCTTCACAAAGGGATCTATTACCCCAGAAGATTCAGAACCACTGCTGCTTACTTGGTAAGATGAGACTCTTCTTCAGGGTTTCAGGCAGGACCTGACCTCTGCCTTTCAGAGAGAAGTATGCGTCATCACGAACCCTAGGAAGGTGTTTCCGAGTCTGACTCCATTCCCGCACCACTCACCTTGCCAAGTCATTAAGATCCAACCGGCCATCCTTGTTTTTGTCAAAGATCTTCATCTGGAAGGCAGATGGGGAAACGATTATAAGAAGTACTTGTAACAGGAATCCATTCTGAAAGTTCCCGAAGCACTTTGATATCTTGCCCTTCCGAGCCCACAGCTGTCCAAACCGGCCACAGCCGTCTCACAGAGTACTCCCTACAGAGGACAGAGGAGATACCATTTTTCCATTGAAGGCAGAAGTAGAAGTAGTTGAGGAGGATGTGATCTAGGGGAAAGTCTGCCTGTCCAGGCTTCCAGGATTGTAGGAAGGAAGAGAGGGAGAGGCAGAGACAGGACAGTCAAGTGCACAGATGTGTGACCAGATGTGCTGGAAGGGGGATCCCAGAGGGAGGAGGGCACCAGCTAAGGAAGGACAACACTGAGTGGAGAGAGTTGCTGTGGGTTGGCTTTCCAGAGACGCTCTGAACACCCAAGCGTTTGGATGCTGGGTTGAGATCCAGTGGACTGTGATGGGATGAGATGATGCTGGACCAGAGGGTGGGGCAGACCCCAGAGCCATGGGCTGATAAGAGGATGTACGTTAGGGAGACATTTAGCATGTCTGACTCCCTGTGGCTTCTGTTTCCCTCCCTGCTGTGACCTGTCGCTGAGAGAAAACCTCTCTGCTCAGCCCTGCAGGTTACAGCCAAGATGTGCAAAAACCACACTTTACCCAAAACCCACTTCACCCAAGGGGAGAAGGAAGTACATAAAGAAATAATAACGCTATGTTTAAGATTTATGGGAATGCCATGACCAATTCCCATACACAAAGGCCAAGCGACCAAGGACAGAACAGTTTCACAACCTTCCTTGGACCCTTGTGGGCTTCTGAATGCCTACAGACATCCATCACCTCTTGACTCCAACCTCCTCCCCTTCTCCCTCTTCCTAACATAAAGGAAGCTCACATTTCATGCTGAGGGGACATGTGCTTTGAGACAACAGCCGCCATCTTGCCTCTCGACTTACTGGTCTGTCCTGTGGCAAGAACACGTGGACTTCGATACAGATGTGGCAGAGGATTAATGGCCCACATCCAGCAAGAGGTAAAGGATGGCTGCTGGACTAGTCTGTACTTCCCAGTGGGCTAGCCAAAGCTAAGAACACGGATTATGAGTTCATCACACACTTCCACTGTGAATACCAGCAAGGTAGCAGCAACCGAGTGGCCAAGAGGCCCCAGCCCCGGGACCAGAGGAGTCAGAGAGCCTTGTGCCCAGGGACCTCGGCTCCTCCCCTCCCCCACTTGGGCCCAAAGCCATTCTTTCTAACCTGATGCCATTTTTGCAGAAGAGTCCGGGTTGGATGAAGGTGACTAAGAAATCTGAGAGGCTCAGCTTTTCCTTTTGTAGAAAGACTTAACATGATCCAAAGAGGATCCTATTTAAATCATAGGATCAGATGAGGTTTTAAACAAGATAGGATTAAAAGTTAAAATCGGGGCGCCTGGGTGGCACAGTCGGTTAAGCATCCGACTTCAGCCAGGTCACGATCTCACGGTCCGGGAGTTCGAGCCCCGCGTCGGGCTCTGGGCTGATGGCTCAGAGCCTGGAGCCTGTTTCCGATTCTGTGTCTCCCTCTCTCTCTGCCCCTCCCCTGTTCATGCTCTGTCTCTCTCTCTGTCCCAAAAATAAAATAAAATGTTGAAAAAAAAAAATAAAAAAATAAAAGTTAAAATCAAGAAGATCGGATTAGGTTAATCAAGATGGAGGGGAGACATTTCACTGCATATTTGAGTCCTAGTGTGAGTGAACTTTGTGACTTCGCCACATTTAGTACAGCAGCTCTAAATGTATTTGTAAGAAGAGGCTATACACGGGGAGAGATGGGGTGAAGAAATCTGAGAGTATATGTAACCGATTTTTGGATTAAAAAACATATCAGTCCATCCTTCCTCCCTCCCTAAATCCAGTTTAGTTTTAATATTTGAAATGAATTTGAAAACCCATTTCTCTAAAACTTTAGCACCAAAAGTGTATGTTGCAGAACCTATTAAAATGCAGGTTATATTTTTATACATTTGGATATATTACACATCCCTTTGTGTCCCTTAAGAATAAATTCTCTATCCAGCAAAAGTCTGACGGCAATACACTTGGCTAAAGACCGAGCCATGATTTTCCATGACACCACCATTACGAGACGTTCTATTAATAGCTAGATTATGTTGAGCTTGAAGCAAGTAGTAACTCACCTTGAAAGATGTGGGCCCATCTCCATAGCTGTACAAATTACTCAAAGGGGGAAAATACCTACCTTTTGCTCAAAACTGGCTTGAGGAACAACTGACCACCAATGTGATAAATTATGCTTCTACCCATCAGAAAATTGGCCACGTGGTTCACCTGAGAAGTTCCGAGAAGTGGTCCGAGTCAGAGCTATGAATTGAGGGCCATCACCATTAGTTGGTATTTCAAGCCACGAGACTGGTTGAGGTCACCAGCAGAGGGAGGGTGGGCACGGAAGCAAAGAACTCTCGAGACTGGGTCCAGACATGTTTCACATCAGTGTGGATCAGAGAGCTGAGTGCCTACACCACAGGAGGAAGCCAGCTACTTGGATCCAATCCCAAAGGACAGGAGCTAGGACCAGGGTAGAGGATGGCACAAGTTTAACCTCATGTCTCTTTGTCTGCCATTGTCTGCAGATTTTAATTTGCAGGTTTACAATAGCTCAAGCTCCATGCTCTAATTGGGTATGTGAACTTAACATCTCCCACATGTATTCACCTACATTTTTAAAAGCTCAATATTATCTAATGTTATTCTATTCAGACAGCGAATCTTTCCTCCCACCAGGTATTGGCAGAACCTCTCAATTAGATGTCCTAATTGGATTTTGTTAACAGGCTGTTTCCTCCCTTGTCCAGAACGTTAATTAGGAGTTAGAATAAAATTAGGTCTGCAGACCTCAACTTTTCTCCTATGATCAGGTGCTCTGCCATGACTCATTCATTGTTCGGGCTTCAGACAGCTTTCAAAGGTGCCAGCCCTCGTGTGGTTCCATTTGAATTCATTTAGCAGGTTATATTTCTGAAGGGAGGCGTTTAATGCCAAACCTTGGAACCAAATCTGTCATGCAGGGCTGCCCCGACTGTATCCGTCGCTCAATAAAAAGCCATTACAGAGGCAGTAAGGTGATTTCACACTTGGTGGATCACTCAGGGCTAAGGTTCTAAAATCTCTTCTGAGAATATTGAATTTCTGAAAGTTAGTTCACCCACAGATCACTAGGGAAATGTAAAAAGTCTTAAAAAAAAAAAAACACTACAGTCCAGTTCCCAAGTCTGTTCATTGGAAAAGTGTAAGTTGCCTCTATAATTTCAGGAAGGAACATGAAATAGATAGGCCATAATCTCATTACGCTCATTCTAGTCTTCTGGTCAGAGTAGGTCTTTGGGTGAAAACTCTTATCTGATTCCTCAACACTTACCTATCACCTCAGAGCAGAAAGAACCAGTGAGGGGCCACTCAGAGTTTGATTGATCACGAGCCTATCTTCACGGGACAGTTTGGATCGAAAAACGAGTGCTTAACCACAGCACAACCGGAAGAACCACAAGTTTTTGGCAATGAGACAGACAACAGGATAACAGCGTAGTCTTGGTCAATGGACGGTCCTCCACCCAGAGACTCACATGTTGGGTGAGACCACTCCGATCCTCCGCAGCTGCTGTACAGGATTCCACGCTTCCAAGGCTGAGCTCGGAGCCATCAAAAACTGCACATTGCCAGATTTTCTGCCCGCCTTGGGCTTTGTCAAACTGAAAGCCAAAGGCTGTGTGTGAAGATAATCGCTCTGGGCGGGCAGCGTGGCCGGGCTGACGGGTGATGTGCATGGTCTTTTCAGCCAAGTGTTGGCGTTCCCAGCCACCCACGTGTTTCCTTCAGGCCCGTTCCCCTCCCTGACAGTGGGTTGTTTGAATGAGCCGACCCTGGGGCTCTCTGCAGTCACAGGCCACTCTTCCTCCCTGGCTCCCTGCATCAGCTTATCTGCAGTCTCTTTCCCAGAGCAAGTTTGTAGAACCCTTTCCTGTTCCCGTGGTCTCTCGTTAATTTGCTTCCTATTTTGTGTTTAATAAGATGTCAGCGCTTAGGATCCTTTCTGGACTTCAGGAGGAGAACGATCCATTTTCCTAGGTAACGAATTCTGGTGCCGCTTGATAGCATGAGCTCCTGCATTATCTTATCTTTAAAAATATTAAGAGAATCCTAATCTCTTCACGTGGCTTTGTCCTCACCTTGATCGTCTCTTCCTTCAGGAATTGTCCTCTCTTCTTGATCTCTCCATAGAGTTCACTCTTCCCCTTTTGAAAGTTTTCTTTTTAATGACTTAGTATTTAAACTTCCGGACGTGGGTACCGTGGTGGAAAATACGGGCTTCGGAGGTAGATGTGGGTAGGCATTTCCACCCCGCTGCATCCCGACTGTATTTAACCTGTTAAAGTCTGTAACCCTCAGTTTCTTCATTTATAAAATGAGAGGCAAAACATACTTAGTTTATATGGTTGCTGTGAGAATCAAATGTTTGCAAAGCACTTTGCACGGAGCTCGGCACAGAGCGAACACGCAGTTGTTACAATTAAAGCACCCAGTACGCGAGTAAATGCTGGCCTTGTCGCGGTGAAAATAAAATGCCACGTGCACTCCGCTGAGACGGCATCTTGAAACAACTCAGCTTGAACTCTGTCCATCTACCTTTTCTTGTCCTGCCTTTGCTGAAGGTCTAGAACGGTGGCTTCATTGTAACCTACCTTATTTTTGAAAAGTCAGGAGAACCAGATCTCGAGATGGTCGATGGTCGATGGCAGAGACGTGCGCAGTGGGGATGAAAGGGAGCGGCCAGAGTGAATTTTTTGCTTTTTCCCCTCCTCTACCAATTTTTCCCTCATCAGAAGACTCCAGAAGGGCAGGGACCATATCTTTCTTGGTAAGTTCTCCCTAAATGAACTCACAGCTTCATTTCAACCAGGTAACCAGGTCATATTCTGACCTGGAAGAGGAGCATGAAGAAGGTGCCGGCTTTGGTGACAGAGGGGGTGCTGTGGGTCACTTTGTGACCCCACTCCTCCGCCCAGAAAAAGCATGTCAGATTCAACTTCAGGAATTTAGGGGTGTGAACTCGGAATCCACTGGGACACATCCCGGGCCTGTCCTACTCGGATTGTCTTTTTCTATTTGCATTTCTCTTCCTCCACACCCTCCGACTCTCACCCCCCACTCCTGCCTTCCTGCCCCTCCTACCTCTCGTCATCAGCATGGGGCTCCAGCCGCCCTGTTGGGTCTGCCCCTGGGCTCAGCACAGCCCATACCCTGCCCGGTGGGGACCCCTGTGGATGAGTCTCTGGGACAAAGGACCCCAGGGAGAGCCCTAAGGGATCAAGCCCAATACTCCCGAGCACTCCTCCTGGCTCTGTCCTAGAGGGTCTGGTGTACAAAGAGGAAGAAATCAAAGGAGAGTTCCAGGACACCAAACATAGCTTGAGGAAGGGTGGATCTGTGCAATGGGCCATCTACGAGGCTCCCCGATAGGGAGCATGAGCCTTACTGGAGGTGGAGGCTCTCAAGGAGGGTCCCCAGAGCAAACCTTGCTTTTGTTGTCCTGGTTTCTTCTGAGCTGGCTGTTAGGTAATGACCCCAAATTCAGTTCTGACAATGGGCACGGAGTAGCCTACTGTGTGCTAGGCCCTGCCGCCTGCCCTCGCCCTAGAGGAGTCACTGGCTAGTAAAGAACAAGTGGTGAACCAGTGATGTCCGTGCTGCCCTTGACTCCAGCTGACTCATCGGCAATCCTGTTGATTTCCCCTTCGCAATCCTTCTCATCTCCTCTGCTGCCCCACCCCCTCCGAGCTGCCACCCTCTCTTACCCGGATGGCAGTGGTGGCCTCTTCACAGGTCTTCCTGATTCCCTCCTTGCCCCTCTGGTGGCTCTCCATCTCACTCATTGTCATACGTTCTCACAGTGGCTAAGACGCCCCACGGGGTCTGGCCTCCGTTAAGTCTTGCCCTTGAATTCTGTGCTCGAGCCACACTCGTGTCTCCCTGTCCTTGAAGTCCACAGGCAGGCTACTGCCCCAGGGTCTCTGTGCTTTGCTGTACCCTCGGTCCTTCCTCAAGCCTCACCTTCTCGAAGGGTGAAAATTACACTCCCCAGCCTCCGATCCTAGCTACCTTGCTGGCATGGCCATCCTTCGCCCTGTTCTACTTTTTCATCTTTCCCATAACACTCGTTACCCCTGTCATGCGATATCATTTATTATTTATTATGTTTATGGTTATTGTCAGTCTCTCCTTTGTCTGGTTCGCTCGCTGCTGGATCCCCAGCGACTCGAGGAGTGCCAGGGGCGTGGCAGATATTTAGTGGATATTTGCAGCCTGGGTTAAATGGGTGACCGATGTGAAGACAATGATATGGGACCCCCAGGGGAGAGGCACCTGCATCCACTACAGAAGAAGGTTATGGAAGGTTTTCTAGGCCACGATGATGTCTCACTGAATCTTGAAGGACAAGCAAGAACCGGGAGAATAAAAGTAGGGAAGAGAATTGAGCCATGTTACGTGAGAACGTAGCCGTTTAGTATTGTAGTTGGAGGCGGAGGGCCTCGGATTCAAAGGCAGTCAAAGAAATATTAGAAACATCCTGGCGATTCTAAGTGAGAGTATTTCATCTTGCAGTGCATGTTTTGGAAGTTAATAAAATCAAGGTTACAAACAACCGGTGCTGACGCCGTGTTGGATCAAGGGTGGAAAGTGCTCATCTGGAAACCTAACCTGCTTGTTATTCTCAGGCAGTTACGGTGACCTCCCCCTTTCCGTGGTATTTACCATGCTGGCAGGTGCTGCTGGAAATCAGGTGGGAAGAAGCCTCGAGATTTCCCTGCTTCCTGCTTCTAGACTTCCCACTTTGCTCTTTCGTGCTGAGTGCGTACTCACTCAGGATCTCGAACACCATTTGCGTGTTATTAAAAGAGGTCCAACATACCAAGAAGCCGAATTGTTTCCTTGATTGAGATCCTGGCCTGGGGTTTGATTCTGCCCTTGGCATCAGCTTCACTTCTGCCTAGGCCATTTACAAGCCATCACGGTCAAGAGCGCCCTTCTCCTTCCCTCCTCCCCAGGGCAGGCGCCCGGGGCCTGGGGGTCAGCGACGGACAGGGTGCAGAGTAAGAGTCTGGAAACCAAGAGAGCTTAGCTTCCAGTTTAACTGGTGCCTTTGGCCGGGTAACTCAACTTCTCCCAGTCACCTGATCTTCCAAGCGAGTTTAAGAATTCAACTCGGTGGTGACGCGGTCACTTAGCCTTTCTAAGCCTCTAGCATCAGATACACGAAATGGCATGAACAATGCCAACCCTGCAGAGACGGCATCAGAAATTATACCGTATTTATTTATACCAGAAATAATACCAAATCAGCTCGAGGCCTCCAGAGGGCAACCTAGTGGCACACATTTTATGAGAATTCACCGACTCTTCTTGGCGTTACGTGCTCCCAACTGCTCACCAGGAAGCCCAGTAACGTGAATCTGTGCTGGAAGTCTTCCTGTGCCTCACAATCCTACGAGCAAGTAAGCCTTCACCAGCAATTTCTTGGCTTCTTGATTGAGAAAACAACAGCGTCCGATTGGCCCGAAGCACTTGTCTGGGGGAAGGAAGGGGGTGGGGGGTGGACACGAACGGCAGGGAAGCCAGACTGTTGATTGGTGGCTGGAGCAATGCATCGTGTTAGATGAGGATGCGTTTGCCAGAGGCAGCTCTCCCATGCTGTCATTTTTCACCGAAACAATCTCAGGGTCATCCTGGTCGCGGAAGCCTAATGACAACAAGGGCCACAGCAACTGCCACAGTAAGAGCTAACAGGTACGGACACCTATTATGTCCCAGACGCTCTGCAAAGTGCTTCGGAGACATCGGCTCGCTCTGCCCTCACAGCAGGTAGGTACCATTAACCCCCATTTTACGGATGAACTAGTAAGATGGACAGGTTGACAGTCTCCCAAGGTCGCAGCCTATAAGTGGGAGACGCGGGACGCACGTCTCCCATCTGTCCGACTCTCAGCTGCCCTCGAACAACATGCCACGTGAATAGACTCATGGCAAGAAGTGGCTTCCCCTGTGCCTGGGACTGATTGTCCATGTTTACCCGTTTCTGTGTGACTTCGAGTGGCTTCGAGGTTATTGGCCTGGTGCCTGGTAACCGATGTTCACTGCACTTTCTGGGTCTCCCCAGGGACAGGCAAACAGCTTTCCTCTCAAATACACGCGGTCCTGTCCTCAGAGAGAGGCTAGAACAGCTCAGTTTTAGCCGACGTTTCCCAGACTTGAGGTTTCTCTTGTATTCATTCAGTCTGCAGGTGCTCCCGGGTACCGACTCTGGGCCCCGGGGAGGCATCAGGGGGGCTGCCTTCGTGAGATCACACTGCCCAGCTACTTACCATGGTGCCGGTGTATTCGTCCAGCTTAGCCTCAGGGACGGCCTTTTTGTGGTGGAGGAAGAGGTCTCGGAGGAAGTTCTGTGACATCGAGAGAAGAGTCACATCTTATATGGGGAGCAAATAAACCACAACGATCTCGGGACGCCTTAATTTAGGCATTGTGGTTTTTTTTTTTATTTTTAGGAGAAAACAAACTGCTTGTAGGAAGCAAATAAATCCAAGAATGGAGGGCTCTCGCTGTTTAAACGGAGCTCACAGGGGCACCAGAGTGGCTCAGTCGGGTGAGCGTCCAACTCCTGATTTTGGCTTGGGTCATGATCTCATGGTTTGTGAACTCGAGTCCCACATCAGGCTCTGTACTGACAGCGAGGCCTGCTTGGCATTCTCGGTCTCTCTCTCTCTCTCTCCCTCTTTCACTCCCCTTCCCCTGCTCACTGTCTCTCAAAATAAATAAATAAAAACTTTAAAATAAAGGGAGCTCACAGAATTCAGAGGATGACTCCAGGCATGGAAAAAGTGTCGAAAATTCCTTAATTACGTCTCTTTCCCAGAGAGAGCAATGTTATTTGCACGTCCTAAACCTTTTAAATACAAATACGTTTTTGGTTTTTTTTAAGTAACAAATTCAAACGCATGCTTCTCGGGCCCATAGGAATTAAATTCATGGTCCATATATCAAGTTCCCAGTGATGAGCAAGGCCACATCCACCCAGCGAGGGTCCCCACACTTACCCGCAGCTCAACAGCTGATATAAAGCCACTGCTGTCAGCATCGTATTTGCGCCAAATCTGAAATACACAAAAGCCATACGTCCATTTACTGGTCCAGTGACCGTGTAAGCAAGCACAAACCCAGAGAGGTCGTGGAGGACTGAAACCAGAGTCTGTCCCTGGTACATCTGGTGACTCTGACAATTTAGCCTGCAGCGTTATCAGGAAATTGCACACAAGGTCAACAAGAGACAAATCCTGGGGCCCAGGAGGTAGTCAAACCGAGGCACCTGCATAGAACTAAAAGCCCCAATAGCAATAAACTTAACGAAAGGGTGAACCCCTCCCAAATACACTGCTGCCGGAAGGCCATAAAGAAGCTTGGCTGGGTGGCCTTGGCTCTGGGTAAAGGGAATGAAACATCTCGGCTAATTCCCAGTGACGAGACAACACTTTCATTGCTACAAGGGTAGCATTCATCCAGCCGAAGATACAGTCACTACACTGGAAGACGGAACTGAACATTCTTAGACACTGAACTGCTTTCTCTACTGCGTGGTGTGGTTTGGGCCGCTTCTGATTATTCCATGTATGAGCATCACAGGTTGGCAAGTTTTCTAAGTCCTAGGCAGAATGGAAAAGGAGCACTAAGTTGTTGTTTCTAATCGACAAGATTTCCTGTAGATGTAGAATGGGTCAGCTGACTCACCGACTGCAGGGACCTTAATTCTCAACACCAGTCCACCAGCCCAGCACCCCATGGGGACAGTCGGGGTACCGAGGGGTCGCGGGAAGGTTGGGAAGCGTCACGCCTTGCGGTCCCTGATGGCAACACGTCTGCCTGAATTCAGCCAGACTTACAAAATCAACTCGCTAAATGTAAATTATATTCTGGTATATTACCAAATATATATATATATATATATATATATATATATATATATACTACCATATATATTCTGGTATATATATTCTGGTATATTACCAAATGTACCAAAACGGAGAATAAGAATTTCAAATAATGAACAACACCGTCTTACATGCTTTTTTCCCCATGTTATTCCATCTACTTTTATAATGTTACTACAACTGAGTCATTGGAGGGCTAAAGATTTTTTTTGTGATCACGTGCATGCCTGTCTTTAAAGAATGAAAGCAAAACGAGGAGATTTCTGGGAAAACAAAACAGAGTTTTTGCCAACAGACTTTGCATGAAGGATATACTCCAGGAAGGAGGAACACAAAGAAGGAGAATCTGAGTCACAGACAGGAATGGTGCACAAAGACGCTGGGAAACAAATCTTCACTGCGTCACGTTTGTAAGAATTAAGGAAAGCAAGACTGAAGTGATACCCTGGGCAGTCATGGCACAGGAGCTCCGAGCAGTGTGTCAGGATTAAAGGGCTTTCAGGTCCTGGGGCTCAGGGAGAACATAAACGCATTAACTTCGAATTTTTAAAAATATATAGGATACTAATAGGTTATAACAAACTTAATTAAAATAATCAAGAGTTGGGGCGCCTGGGTGGCTCAGTCAGTTAAGCATCCGACTTCGGCTCAGGTCGTGATCCCGTTGGTCGTGAGTTTGAGCCCCGCGTCGGGCTCTGTGCTGACAGCTCGGAACCTGGAGCCCGCTTCCGATTCTGCGTCTCTCCATCTCTTGGCCCCTCCCCTGCTCGTGCTCTGTGTCTCTGTGTCTCTCAATAAATAAACGTTAAAAAAATTTTAAAAATAATAATCAAGAGTCTGAAGTGATACCTATATCCATATCTCTATCTATCTATTTTTTTAATTGGGTAGAGGAAGGAAAACTTCTTTGTTAGAAGCAGTGGACAAGCTAGGAGGGGGGAGGCAGATGGTAAAAGAGAAACTAGAAGAGGACGGTGCCGTTGTGCTATTTCCTTTTTCCCATTCCTTGACATTATTCGGTACAACGCACGCCCTAACATTTTAATACTGTTTTTCTGATTATAAGAGTAACTCAGATTCACTGTACAAACTTAACGAATTACAAGAAGAAGACAAGTATAATGTCCGAAACTACTTACCCAGAGATGGTCCCTTAGGATTTTTGTGTGTTTCCTTTCCATCATATTTCTATGATACACCTGACAAGACTAACTTGGAGGCCGTATACTTGGGCCGTGTGCTGATTATTTTCATTTAAAATGTTCTTTTAGGCACTTTTAAGCACAATTAAAATTTCAAAAATGCCACTTAAAATAATTTGTAAATAATTATGATTCTGTACACAACCGGAAAACATAAAAGTGCAAAGTATATGAAAATCATTCAAAATCTTAATTGCTTAAGAGCAATCAGTATCTATATTGTGTGTATTTCCCTATGGTCTAATTTATGTATGTGTTAGGATGAACGATTTTTATTTATTTTTTTATTTTTTTATTTACTTTAAAAAAAAATTTTTTTTTCAATGTTTATTTATTTTTGGGACAGAGAGAGACAGAGCATGAACGGGGGAGGGGCAGAGAGAGAGGGAGACACAGAATCGGAAACAGCCTCCAGGCTCTGAGCCATCAGCCCAGAGCCCGACGCGGGGCTCGAACTCCCGGACCGCGAGATCGTGACCTGGCTGAAGTCGGACGCTTAACCGACTGCGCCACCCAGGTGCCCCAAGGATGAACGATTTTTAAAATAATGTTAAGATCATAACGCATGTACGATTTTGGTCCTTAACGTTGTAATGCATTTCCTCCGAATATAAACATTTCTGATTATACCCTTCAGATAGATGCTTGGAGCAGTAGAAGTTTATTAAGTCAGAGGGTAAAGATATTTTTAACCTTGGGTAATGACATCTTAAAGGATCCTGGGACGCCTGGGTGACTCAGTCGGTTAAGCATCCAACTCTTGGTTTTGGCTTATGATTTCACAGTTCATGAGTTCGAATCCCACATTGGGCTCTCTGCTCTCAGCACCGAGCCTGCTTTGGATCTTCTGTCCTCCTCTTTCACAGTATTATACCTTCAAAACTAGGATTAACTGCCAACATTTGAAAACAAGTAGTTTCACACAGAGTCTAGATGGCCAGAGGGCATTCTTATAAGGCAGCCGTTCTCTGGAGCTCCCTGGGGGGAGGCACCTGATCTCTGGGCTCCCCAGTCCCCAGCAAACCCCCGTTACCTTCCTCTGTGTGCACCTGCCTGGATGTTGTCTAGGCCTCCCCTAGCCCAGGCTGAAGGACTTTGTCTGCTCGGGAGCAGTCCGGGTCCCACGGAGCACATGGGGGCACACGGGGACTTGGGGCCAAAGCTCTGGCTTGTCACCAAGGGCTTCTTTTGCTCGATCTTGTCCTCCATGGGCAGCTCTACATTGGGGACTGGGGAGATGTGGTGGCCACCACAGTAGGTGGCTGGGGCCCTGGTCTCTTCTCAACCCTCATCAACCATAGAGATACAGTCAAACACTTACCTGCATAAACTCCACGCTGCTGTCCAAGGGGGTTTCCTGACGAAAGAGCAGAAGGAAGTTTTCATCCTCAGACAAGAACATAGTGGCAAGCTACAGAAATGGAGAGACATAGCAGTCGGTGACACTGGCCAGTGCCCCCTGGGAAAAAGCCACGGTGAGACCTGTTATAGGGCAGAAGGGCTTGGGTTCCTCAAGAGTGAGAGCTCAGATTGCAGGTCTGTGCCCTGGATTGCCATGTTTGATTCACTGATTCTTTCAAACAGTATTGCACCCGTACTGGGAATGAAACACTGTGGGTGTCTGCCTTCTGCAAGCTTCCGATCCAGAATAAGAATCCTAATTTTTAATAATAAATTTGTCAGGGGTGCCTGGGTGGCGCAGTCGGTGAAGCGTCCGACTTCAGCCAGGTCACGATCTCGCGGTCCGGGAGTACGAGCCCCACGTCGGGCTCTGGGCTGATGGCTCGGAGCCTGGAGCCTGTTTCCGATTCTGTGTCTCCCTCTCTCTGCCCCTCCCCCGTTCATGCTCTGTCTCTCTCTGTCCCAAATAAATAAATAAACGTTGAAAAAAAATTAAAAAAAAATAATAATAAATTTGTCAGTGTTGACTATGTCCCAGGCACTATCTTACAACTCTCTCGTATTAAAATAATTTCACTCTGTAATACAAAAGAAAATTAAAATAGCAAATAATTCTTATGTGTGCCATGAATTACTCTAAATTCTTACGTCCGCTCATTCACTGAAACCTAACAACGACCTATAGAGTAGACAACACACCATTATTATTATTTGTTAGTTAAAGCAACTGGAACTTGCCTCAGCTATGTGGTGAGTAAGCAGTGGCACCAGGACTATGGCCACACTTTTAACCTTTCTGCTGTGCTGGCGAGATGCTACATATACGTTCACTTCTGTGCCACAGTTACAGGCAGGAGTGTTGAGTGTTGGCTAATTTATTCTTTTATGTTATTAGTTTATTAGTGTCTCTATGATGCTGCAATACTTGGACCATGCATGGTAAATTCAGTCATCCAACTTTGCATTTGAGCTCCAGCTCTCCTGATTTACGTCACATCTCCCACGAGTAGAGGTGACATTTTCATCTCCTGCGTGATTGTTACTCTTACATCAGCACGTAGGCGTGTTTGGCTGGCCTCGTCTGTCACCCGCGGTCTAGCAGTGTTATTGTCTTCTCTCTGAGCTGTCCGCCATAAACAATGGCCATTCCTCCCATCACCGGGCACTTCTCCCAGCATCTGGTACACTGCCAGAGAGAGAGCCCAGACGGACGCTGTTGGTGGCTCGTAGGCGTGATGAGCCCACACTCCTGCGCACATTCTCTAGTTGGATGAAGGTCTGCTCGTGGACACGGTGTGGGCATGATAATGATCGGATTCTGAATATCGTATGTTGAGTAGCTCGTCCATGGCAGGCACTGGAAAATGTGCTTTTCAATTATTATCTCATTAAATTCTCACACCAGTCCTTCTGGGGGGCATAAATGCCCCCCTTACTATGGGAGCGGGACAGCGCCGTGTGCCACTGATAACCGACCCTGATTCCTTCTCCATTGTTTGCCTGTTATTTGCTACGGCACAATTTAATTGATATCTCCGTGCCTCAATTTCTTCATTTGTAAAATGGGATAATAATGTTTACATGCTAGTGTTTATGTCAAGACTGAAAGTAGAATGAGGCACCATTAATAAGCTGTTCATAAAATTCCTGGTACATATGAAACATTCAATACATGGTAACTGCCGTGTTGATGAAGATGATAAAACGGAGGCACAGGGAGCAGTGAATTGGCCAAGGTCTCACATTCACGGTGTGGACTTGGCCCTTTCCCTGCCCCACCCCTCGGGCCCCCGGCCGAGGCTCCAAGGTCAACTGGATATGGCAACTGGTCTTTAGGACTGAGTTCTTTTTCACACGGGGTACCATAGGCCAAGGAACCAAATTAAAATGTAATTCGCTGGTCCTCAGTCTCTAGAACCCGGTCTGTCTTTAGCTTTGATTGGAGGGCACAGAGGAGCCCTGGACAAATCCGGTGTACAGATCATCTCCCCAAACCTGGCTGCAGCTCGGTTGGGACTTCTTCCCCATCTTAATTGTGCCAGAATACCTAACATGTACCAGGTACGCTGATCTTTATGTCTCACCACCTGTGACTGGAGTCAGTGATGTAGTCAGGGGCACGGCACAAGGTCGGGGAGACACTGTTCCTCCTTAAGCTCGCAGACGGCAGGTTAGGGACCTCGGACCGATGAACTGGGTACCATCGGCTTGTCTACAAACAGCCCCTCAGTTATGTCATTTGCAGGACTCCATGACTGGTTGGCGTAAGCTATTCCCAAGTGCTTCAGGAAGGCCCGACTGTTGTTAGCAGGGGTTAACCGTGTTTCATTTATTCATTATTAAGTCAGTACATATTTGTCGAGCACCACGAATGTTACCCTCTGTTCTGTGGGCTGGGGAATGCAACAGTGAACATGTAGTCACGAATACTTCGGTATTTCTAGCGTGAGGCCTGCACTTCCTTCTTTGATGGATACGCAGGTACGTTTCCATCCATTATACTACAAATACTCGTTACGTATATAATTTTGCCTTGGAGAGAAAATTTTGGAAACAACTACGTTCATACATCTGGATTTAGTTTATTGCTTTTCTGAAAAGGCTGCATCCTGGTGAACACATCTACTTTTTATAAGGAGGCGTTGTCTTGCCCTTTTGTCATAACCTTCTGAAGCAAAACAGTCCTGTTTTCATGAATAATACTGTCTGTCCAAGTATGGCGACATCGAGACTTGTTCTACAGGTTTCCGGTAATCTGTGTCGCAGGCAATTTTGACTATAAAATAAATACCTTAGTTTTAAGTAGCTCATTTTTAGATACAGACTGATAACTATATAGCAGGAACCCATCGAGTGATATCTTTAAGTGGGGTTACACTTAAACTAGTGCCACTAATTGGCCACGTAATGCACATGAAATAGGGGTAATGTCCCACTCCTATCTCCTTGCACTATTGTGGGGGATAAGGTATCAACATATGTGTGGAAATCCTTTCTAAACTCTAAACCTTTTTGTAACTGGAAGGAAAAACAATGAGGTTAAAGAGACACTACCCGAGGCACTGCGTGCTTAACACCTTGCTTTTGTAGACTCAGTAAATGTGGGCTGAACTGCAGACAGCTGCTGTCTGTTTTGTTTTTAACGATCTTCAGGGATAGATCTTTCCAGCCTCCGCTGGCCGATACGGAAGTTTAAACTCATTTATTGTCGCTAAAGTTTTCCTTATACCAAGGTTGAATCTGAACAGCGCATTGCAAAGAGACAAATATTGGATCAGGTAACTGAAAGGCCTCCAGCGTATCAATTCCCCAGTTATCAAGTAAGTATAAATATTGATTGACCTAACTAAAACGATGGAACTATTTGTTGCTAAGCGGATGAGAAAGGAGAGGTGATTACTTCAAAATACCGTGTAGGCCACCTGCCTTGTAGAGAGTTCTGATTTCCCAACCAGATGTAAGATTTGCATTATCTTTCAGAGAAAACAATAGCTCTAAAAAGGCTTAACGGTACCTCTTTCATTTGTACGCGACCAGCTCTAGAGACGTCCTGGGGAGCCATAATTCGCTGCTTCAGTCTCTGCACGTTTTCTTCTACCACCGCCGCCTATGATAGGCCAGACAGAACCACATTAAAGCCACTGGGATTCCAAAAACGTAGCTGGGGTATCAAATATTCAGAGCAGATAGCCTGATAATTATGTTACTCTAACCTGGGAAGCAGGTCACTTAGCCATTTAGAGCAAGCCTACCGTGTTGAACAGGGGGAAGAGTGCCAGAGATTTCTTGAGCAAACCATCACTGATCGGCACCCTGACCAGGTGAGACCTACAGCAGGTGAATTCCTAAAACATGAGTGAAGGGACGCTGAGAGACTAGAGTGTTAAAGTATGGTTTTGAACATCATTGTATGTTTTGTTGTGACAAAAGGCTGTATAGTAATGAACATACTTTCTTTCCCAAGAACTTTCTGCCCAAGAACTTGGAGATTTTGTTCTATTTTTTTTCTTTTCTTTTTTCTTTTTTTTTTTTTTTTTTGAGTAAGAGAGAGACCACACATGAATAGTAGGGGAGGGGCAGAGAGAGAGGGAGAGAGAGAATCCCAAGCAGACTCCATGCCGTCAGTGCAGAGCTCGAGACAGGGCTTGATCTCGCAAACCATGAGATCATGACCCGAGCTGAGATCAAGAGTCAGAAGCCCAACTGACTGAGCCACCCAGGTGCCCCAATTTTGTTCTGTTTCTTTTTTTTAAAGGTATTTTTTTAAGTTTATTTATTTATTTTGAGAAAGAGGGTGCGTGCACATGCGTGAGTGGGGGAGGGGCAGAGAGAGAGAATCCCAAGCAGGCTCTGTGCTGTCAGCGCAGAGCCCAATGTGGGGCTTGATCTCATGAACCATGAGATCATTACCCAAGCCAAAATCAATCATCAGACATTTAACCAGCGGAGCTACCCACGCACCCCTATTCTATTTCTAAGTGAAAAGCCTGGCCCTTCTAGGTTGCCAGTTCGACATAGCTCATTCCCTTCCTCTTCTCCTTGGATTTGTTGAGGAAAAGGTCATTAGAAGGGAGGAAAAGTAATAAAATGTTGAATACCAAAGATGCCACATCTCCCTTTCACGTACAACTTTCACGTACAACTGAGGAACACACTAACTTGTTCCTCAGCGGTGGACTGCAGGAGTGGTACAAAGAAATATGACATATATAATCAACAATGGAGAACGAATTCTGATGCGGGAGTTGAGAAGCAGAAACACTCCCCAGCAGTGCCTGATTCCAAGACTGCAGACTCCATCAGCCATGCTAAATTCATTCTCCTCAGTGCTGTCCCTAATACTCTCCCTGCCAGTCAACCCCCTCGTCAGTGGGTCCCCTACATATAGAGGGATCGGCATCTCTAGTCTTGGCACCTTGGATCGTGTGCGTGTGAGTTTGTGTGTGTGGGTCGTGTACGTGCAATCACACAGAAAAGAAACTGATGATCACTCAACAAGGTGGGTCTTCACTCTGGGTTTCAGGTGACTTTCTAGATTAAGAGATCCGTAGGATGGCAGTGATTTCTGTAGCTCTCAAATACAGTATCTGTGGAATGAATAAATGATTCTTTATGATGGACTGGGCCTTCCCGAAGGAAGTTAACTAACATGGGCCATGTTGGTGGAAAATTAAATTTCAAAATAAACAAATGTGAAGCCAAAGAAGCTGTAGCCAGATTCTCTGTGCTGCCTTTAGTTTGAAGCCACAGAACCTTGACTTCTGCCCTTCCAGACCTCCCACCCCAGAGCCCATGCCTAGTCGTTGGACCCAACACACCAGGACCTAGGGACTGCTTCCATTCCCCATCAGCACCCCTCCCTCCTTCCGTGAGACTCTGGGCCCCCGCAGGGTGCTCGTCATCCCTGAAGCATTGAGGGAGACCCGGGATGTGCCACAGTCTGGATGGGAAGGATGTGCACACGGCCCCAGACAATGATGTTCTGCAGGGCACTGGCTGTATCCAGACCTAGTTCAGAGGCCGGTTCTATGCACGTGAAGAGAAAAGGCAGAGAGCTGAGGGCAGGGGTGAGTAACAGAAACAGCAGCAAAAATGGCTGATGGTCCCATTAAGTCTGTCCCCTCAGAGGCTCTGGGAACCAGGTAATTACACACAGGCTGCCCGCTCTCCAAGGTTGACCACCAGGCACCTTACTGTCAGAAACCTTAAGATTCCTCTTTCCGCGATCTCTGTGCCCTGCTAATGAGGGAAGAAAATAGAGCTATTCAGGCCTTCGAAGAACCGCTTGCACCCCTAAACCCCAGGCCAAGGGGCTGCCCAATGGTGGAGTCTTCCCTGCGGCTGGTTCCGTAGGCACTGGGGCATCACTGATGAAAAGTAAGTGTCACAAATGGTGATTGTTGCTCAGTTTAAAGGGCTTCCACTCGGGAAGTCCTGCCCTCTTCTTAAGGACATGTGTAGGGGCTGCTCATTTCTCAGCAGGGAAAAAAAAAAAAACCCAGAATTAGGAATAGTTTCCTTAATCACGGTTGTCCAGGTAGCGTGGAGGGTGCAGCGCAGGTCTCTATAACCCCACGCCCCAGGGTAATGCCTCAGCGTTTTGAAACAGGATAATGGCCGGCGACGACATCTTTGGATAACAGCTGGCACCAAAGGCCCCTCCCCAGCCAAGTGCTGAGAAGAGGTGGCTGGGGCCACTGCCAGAGACTGATGCTACTAGAACCCTCCTTCTGATGGGCAGTTGCTGTTCCTGGAGGGACAGAGGCTAGAAGAGATACAAACCGACTTCGGGTGATTTAAAAATACGAGATCTTAGGCAGACCTCGAATGTACCGAAATGCCTAGGGGGTGGAACTTGGGGTCTACATTTTAACAAATACAGAGAATTCTGAAGCGTGCCCCGTTTTGCCTCCACTACCCTGAGGATTCTGCAGCCTTCCAACCCCTTTGCCTCCGGCCTCAGGAAGGCCTACACTGAGCACAGGGGCACAGGACGCTGGTGACTCATTTGTCTCCTTTCCTGGGGGGACTGGGCCTGCCCCGGTGTGAGAGGGTGAGTCCACAGGCTGGCTCTGAGGGAGGGTGAGGAAAGAACCGCCCCTCTGCTGTGTCACTAGAAGCAACAGTGCCTCCGACATTAGCCAAAGCCCCAGAAGGAGATGGCTCATGGAACGGCTTGTGGTGCCCTTGGCTTAGGGCAGACCTTGTGCTTTAGTAGCCCCACCCCCACCTCATGACTGAAAAGAGGACGCTTCCAGTTTCAGCCCTGACAGCAACTTTTCTCCCCCTTTCCTATCAGCCACTAAAGCAAGGAGCTTCTGAAAAGGTGGGAAGTTCCAAGTCTCTGGAAATTTGGGTTTTTTGACTGTCCAGTTTATTCTAAGATGTTGAATGGCTCTGCCTTCATCTATTTGTTTTCCTCTAATACTCCTGTCATGCCTGACACAACAGCGCCTGACTCATAGGCTCTGGAATGCCATGAGCCTTCGCATTTACAGCAGTAAGTAGGAGCAAGGCAGAGACAGAGAGAGAGACCGAGAGAGGGAGACAGAGTGAGGTAAAGGAAGGAAGGAGAAGAAAAGAGAAGAGAAACTGATAGAAGACAAGAAATGGGAGGCAAAAAAGATGAGACCGATAAGAAAGGGAAAGGAAAAGAAAGGGAGAGGAGGGACAAGAGAGCTTTGAGAAGCAGACTGAAGGTAGAAGGGAAACAAGGAGGCAGGAGAGACAGTGAGACATGGAGAGACATGTAGGACATAGAGAAGAGAGACAGAGAGGTCAGAGAGAAAGTCAAGAGATGATGGAAGACGGGGCCAGGTATCAGAATAAGAAACAGAGATGGGCAGAAAAATGAGACAGATGCACACAAAAAAAAGAATAGGAGAGGCAGAGACAAGTCCATATATTCAAAGAGACAGAGACAAGGTCTGCGTGGCTGTTGGAGGCAGATGGCAGCCTCTTTTGTTCTGAGCTGCTGCCCACCACCCCCCCCCAACCCCTACGCACCTCCTCCCCAAGCCCTTCTTGATGTACGGGGAGTCTGTTCCCCTCATTGGGCTCCTCCATGAAAGCGCAAGGCACTTTATTCTTCCGTGTAAACAGTTATATCTGAGCATAAGTGAGCTTCACGATTCATTTTAAATGCTCCTGTCTCCAGAGCTATTCCTCTTACCGGGCATCTCCTGATGGAGTTTTACTGGGCTCTCCCCCGCCTAGGCTGGTGTGGCTCGGTGTGAGTTTTTCCTCTGCTTTAGTAGAGGGATCTTTAAAAGTTAATCTCCATCTCTCAAGGCCAGATTTACCATCAGGGTAAATGATGGACTCGATACATTTATTATACCTGGGCTCTGGACATATTGATTATTTTCTGGTTTGTTATTCCCTAAGAAATCTATACCTATATGAAAAGATTTTTCTATAAGAAAAATCATTTCTGTTAAAATGAATAAGGGAAAGTGATTTTAAGTGGTTGTTTGCGGTTTGCTATCAAAGGAGTATCAAATGCACTAAACACACAGAACCTCAAAGCTCTTAACCTCTCTTCCACCTTTTTGAACAAAGTGAGCTGCCTTATCTCCAAGTTGAAATCCATTAGCAGAGACATAACCAAGGAAACGTTCAAAACAGAGGTGTTTGAATTTATAGTTAAGGTCTCTGAGTGGATGACAGATGTCACAGTGAAAGTCAGTGACCAGCACACCCAATGCTCCAGTTGCACCTTTTATAAAACCTGCCTCAATTCCTCCGTGTTGCTAGGAGATGGAGAAAATCACACGCAGGCAAAGAAGAAAAGAGGTCAGATGGGATTAATGGGCGCAAATCGACATGAGACTTGGATGCTCCTTGCATGTTGCTAAAGGCACATAAATTAATGCTTAGTGGCACAAGTACTTACATCAGTACCCAGTGTCGTCAAGACATGGCGAAAGAAAGCATCAAGCTCCTTCTCTTCTATGTATCCTTTCTCTAAATGCAACAAGAGATGCACAAATGGTAGTCACTTCCACAAAATACCACGTGACATTTAGGATTTATCTAAATTGTCTTTAATCTCACACTGTAAAATCCCCATGGATACGTTCTTTACTGTTCCAACAACTAAGTGCCAATAGCTGACGTCTAGAAGTCATGGATTTGAAAAGTAAACACACATTCAGGAGCTAATGCTCTGTGCTGGGTTTGTAGGAATATTTCGAAAAGGAGAGTGATTAAATACATACATTTGAATCCACCGATAAACATGAATTTTAGAAGAAAAGTCCAACCCAAGGATTTGGAAGCTTGGAACAATTTAACAGATGTAATTATCAAATCTTCGTTTGCAGAGTCAAAACACACGTTAGGCATTTTCTTTAGGGTTGTTTGAATTATTAATAAAGATAAAGCACACATTAAAGAGTTCCATTTTCTTTTTAGGTAGTTCTTTTGCGGGGTGGGTGTGGGTAGTGTCTTTTTGGAAGTTGGTAAAATTCATCCTCCCTTTGAAGAGCACAATAAGGGAGGGTGGACTTCAGATAGCTGCATGTCAGTCTCAAGCCTCAAATACATGTAATGATCTTTGTCATTATACATGACATATCATTTTAGATATACACACACAGAGACTGAGAAGGGGGGCAAACCTGAACTTCAGACACACACACACACACACACACACACACACAGATTGGGAAGGGGACCGAGTCCCTCCCTCCACCCTGAACTTCACACACACACACACACACACACACACACACACAGATTGGGAAGGGGCCGAGTCCAGAACTTACACAGACATCCAGATCTGTAATTCCAGTATACCTAACATCTGTGAGGCTTGAACAATGCTGGAAGACAACTTCCCCTGCGAGGAAAAATGTATGGGAAGGGGAAACTCTGGGTCCTTTCAGAGGGGCTGGAGCCACGTCTACACCTGTGTGTGCAGATGGCTTGCTCGACTCACCATCTCCGTCAAAGCGCTGCCAGACCTGCCATAAGCCCGCGGCGTCCAAGCGTCCCTGAAGCTGTTCGCGGGCGCTGTCCATGGTGCTGACGCGAGGCTTGGGCACCTGCCGCCGAGGAACACCGGGTGATAGCCGCTCCTTCCTGACTCCCGCGCCTGAGCGGGTGCTCTCCGGTTTGTTTTGAATACCTGTCTTCCGGGCGGTTGCGAGGGCGGCTGGCGACGAGGCCGGTGGCGCCTTCGTGTCGCTACAGTCCCTAAGCCCGCCCCACTGCTGGCGCGCTGGTCCCCGCCCCGCCCCGCGCGTAGGTCCATGCACCCTAAGAGGGCCCTTGTCTGCCTCCGCTGGGGGACAGGAGAGAAGGGCGCTGTCCTGGGGCGTGCAGAGCTAACTGCCTTTGCCTTTAATTTATTTGCCAAACTCAAAGAAAACAATCCCCATACATTTGACTTAGCATCCAAACTTGCGCTTCGAAGGGTTTTCCAGAGAGAGCTCCTGAAATTAAAGTGTTGGAAGAGGTGTCTGTGTTAAGACTCTTTGGACCTGGTAACTTAGGAACATAGTGTGTGGGGAGGGTGGGGATGAGGTGCAGAGGGGTGATGGTGTAGTGGTATGAAATTACCAGAAAGCAAGGAGACTGACAACAGCAAGGTTGATGCCAGAGTGTTTAGGGCACGCTCATTGTTGTGCTAGAACGCACTATAAAGACTTGCTACTAAATGGAGATTCTGCAAGGAACCATGGTTTAAAGCAGGATATGAGGATGTTGGGGAAGTCTAAACCATGCCATGCTCTGCCGGGAAAGAGAGTCAGGGAAGGCACGGTGGCCATCTGCAGAGGTTTTAGGTAGATGATTATGTTCGGCTCCTACGTCTCTCAGTAAAACCAAATGACAAATCATTTGGAGGAACACAGAGCTCTAAGGATCAGAACTGTTCAAAACCTGACTGGTTGCTTTGTGACGTAGTGAACTGACGGGCGCTGATGGCTTCCGACCACGGGCTTTGAACCATTTGTTGAGGAAAGGAGCTCGGGTATTAAGAGAGTTAGACAAGAGTTATGACAACTCACCCTGATATTAGCACTCAAGTTCAGTTTTTAAAAGCACATATATGTAAGCCATCTAAACTACAGTAGGAAAAAGAACATGACGCTCCTGGATGGATAGTACTGAGTCAGGATTCCACCTCCATCACTTGTTGGCTTTGTGACCTGGGCTGTTACTTTTCATCTCTCTGAGACGCTGTTTGTTCCTCTATAAAATGAGGATTATAATATCTGCTTTGGGGTGTTGCTGTGAGGGTCAGAGTCGCTCATAGGAATATACAATATATTATAACTGCTATGGTCTTATTAGAGACTAAGAGGTGACTATCTTATTTTTTTTTTAATGGTTGGGGGAGACACCTGGGTGGCTCGGTTGGTTAAACGTCTGGCTCTTGGTTTTGGCTCAGGTCATGATCTCACGGTTCATGGGTTCAAGCCCCAAGTTGGCCTCTGTGCTGACAGTGCAAAGCCTGCTTGGGATTTTTTCTTTCTCTGCCCCTCCCCTGTTCTCTCTCTCTCTCTCTCTCTCTCTCTCTCTCTCTCTCTCTGTCTCAAAATAAATAAACTTTAAAAAATAAATAAAGAAAATGGTTTGGAGAAAAAGGGAAATAAGAAACTGTCACAGCCAAGCGGAGCCTAAGAAGAGATCATAATTAACCACAATATTGTATCCTGGATACGATCCTGGGACAGAAAAAAAAAAAAGGACATTAAGCAAAAACTAAGAAAATTTGAACAAATATGGATGTTAGTTAATAATAATGAAAAAATAGTTTAGAAGCAAACATTCTGGGTTTAGGGTCCAGCTTTGCCTCTTACTAGCTGTGATATTGGGCAAGTTACCCAAAAGAAACCTCACTTTCTTTCCTTGCAAAATGAGGAAAGTTGAAGCGTTTGCCTTGTTGTCCTAAAGGTAAAATGAAAAAATGAATACATATAAATTTCTTACCACAGTAAACACTCAATGCAGTTAGATACTAAAATGATAAAACTCCATACATACACATTTAGACGATGCTGAAATAAATGTCAGGATTTTTTAGTAATGTGGCTTAGGTTAAAAGAGGAAGAGCAATATCATCACTTCTGGGGGAAGTGTTGGGCACAAATATCGGAGAACGTAGCAGGAAGAGAGGGCAAGGTCTCAGTAGTTATCATCAGTGGCCCTGGGTAGTTATGGATACAGTGTCCAGACACCTGGGTGGCTCACTCGATTAAGTGTCCGACTTCAGCTCAGGTCATGATCTCACAGTTCATGAGTTCAAGTCCTGCGTCAGGCTCTGTGCTGACAGCTCAGAGCCTAGAGCCTGCTTCAGATTCTGTGTCTTCCCTCTCCCCTTTTTGTGTGCTCTCTCTCTCACAAATAAACATTAAAAAAAATATTTTTAAATTATCAGTGTTTCACACAATTTAAATTAAAATCTCTGTGAAAGAGGCTACATTAATCCATAAGTTATTTTATTTCGGGTTATAACTTATTTTGGGTCAATTCTAGCTACTTTGTATTTGCTTTACTCTCAGTTTTCTGCTTGGACAGTGAGGGTCTCAGGTAAACCACCCTTGGTTTTTCCACCACAGATCTCTTCCTCCATCTCCAGGTGGGGGAACCTCTGAGGTGAGACAGTCTTATAGGTGATGTCTGCTGATCCAGTATTTTCTTTGTTTCTTTTTTTAAATATGAAATTTATTGTCAAATTGGTTTCCATACAACACCCAGTGCTTATCCCAACAGGTGCCCTCCTCAATACCCATCACACTCCCCCTCATCAACCCTCAGTTTGTTCTCAGTTTTTAAGAGTCTCTTATGGTTTGCCTCCTTCCCTCTCTTTTTTTTCCCTTCCCCTCCCCCATGGTCTTCTGTTAACTTTCTCAGAATCCACATAAGAGTGAAAACATATGGTATATGTCTTTCTCTGTATGGCTTATTTCACTTAGCATCACACTCTCCAGTTCCATCCACGTTGCTACAAAAGGCCATATTTCATTCTTTCTCATTGCCAAGTAGTATTCCATTGTGTGTATAAACCACAATTTCTTTATCCATTAATCAGTTGATGGACATTTAGGCTTTTTCCGTAATTTGGCTATTATTGAAAGTGCTGCTATAAACATTGGGGTACAAGTGCCCCTATACATCAGCACTCTTGTATCCCTTGGATAAATTCCTAGCAGTGCTATTGTTGGGTCATAGGATAGATCTGTTTTTAATTTTTTGAGGAACCTCCACACTGTTTTCCAGAGTGGCTGTGCCAGTTCGCATTCCCACCAACAGTGCAAGAGGGTTCCCGTTTCTCCACATCCTCTCCAGCATCTATAGTCTCCTGATTTGTTCATTGTAGCCACTCTGGTGTGAGATGGTATCTGTGTGTGGTTTTGATTTGTATTTCCCTGATGAGGAGCGATGTTGAGCATCTTTTCATGTGCCTGTTGGCCATCTGGATGTCTTCTTTAGAGAAGTGTCTATTCATGCCCTCTGCCCATTTCTTCACTGGATTATTTGTTTTTCGGGTGTGGAGTTTGGTGAGTTCTTTATAGATTTTGGAGATTAGCCCTTTGTCTGATATGTCATTTGCAAATATCTTTTCCCATTCCATCAGTTGCCTTTTAGTTTTGTTGATTGTTTCCTTTGCAGTGCAGAAGCTTTTTATCTTCATGAGGTTCCAATAGTTCATTTTTGCTTTTAATTCCCTTGCCTTTGGAGATGTGTCAAGTGAGAAATTGCTGCGGCTGAGGTCAGAGAGGTTTTTTTTCTGCTTTCTCCTCTAGGGTTTTGATGGTTTCCTGTCTCACATTCAGGTCCTTCATCCATTTTGAGTTTATTTTTGTGAATGGTGTAAGAGAGTGGTCTAGTCTCATTCTTCTGCATGTTGCTGTCCAGTTCTCCCAGCACCATTTGTTAAAGAGAATGTCTTTTTTCCATCGGATATTCTTTCCTGCTTTGTCAAAGATTAGTTGGCCATACTTTTGTGGGTACAATTCTGGAGTCTCTGTTCTATTCCATTGGTCTATGTGTCTGTTTTTGTGCCAATACCATGCTGTCTTGATGATTACAGCTTTGTAATAGAGGCTAAAGTCTTCGATTGTGATGCCTCCCGCTTTGGTCTTCTTCAAAATTACTTTGGCTAATCAGGGCCTTTTGTGGTTCCATATGAATTTTAGGATTGCTTGTTCTAGCTTCAAGAAGAATGTTGGTGCAGTTTGATTGGGATTGCATTGAATGTGTAGATAGCTTTGGGTAGTATTGACATTTTAACAATATTTATTGTTCCAATCCATGAGCATAGAATGTTTTTCCATTTCTTTATATCTTCTTCAATTTCCTTCATAAGCTTTCTATAGTTTTCAGCATACAGATCTTTTACATCTTTGGTTAGATTTATTCCTGGGTATTTTATGATTCTTGATGCAATTGTGAATGGGATCAGTTTCTTTGTCTTTCTGTTGCTTCATTATTAGTGTATAAGAATGCAACTGATTTCTGTACATTAATTTTGCATCCTGCAACCTTGCTGAATTCATGTATCAGTTCTAGCAGACTTTTGGTGGAGTCTATCAGGTTTTCCATGTATAATATCACATCATCTGCAAAGAGTGAAAACTTGACTTCATCTTTGCCAATTTTGATGCCTTTGGTTTCCTTCTGTTGTCTGATTGCTGATGCTAGAAGTTCCAACACTATGTTAAACAACAGCGGTGAGAGTGGACATTCCTATCGTGTTTCTGATCTCAGGGGGAGAGCTCTCAGTTTTTCCCCATTGAGGATGATATTAGCTGTGGGATTTTCATAAATGGTTTTTATGATGTTTAAGTATATTCCTTCTATCCTGACTTTCTCAAGGGTTTTTATTAAGAAAGGATGCTGAATTTTGTCAAATGCTTTTTCTGCATCAATTAACAGGATCATATGGTTATCTTTTTTTTTTATTAATAAGATGTATCACATTGATTGATTTTGCAACTATTGAACCAGCCCTGCAGCCCAGGAATGAATCCCACTTGATCATGGTGAATAATTCTTTTTATATGCTGTTGAATTCGATTTGGTAGTATCTTGTTGAGAATTTTTGTATCCATATTCATCATATTGGCCTGTAGTTCTCTTTTTTTGCTGGGTCTCTGTCTGGTTTGGGAATCAAAGTAATGCTGCTTCATAGAATGAGTCTGGAAGTTTTCCTTCCCTTTCTATTTTTTGGAACAGCTTGAGA